GGCATACAAAATGGGATTAGAATATTAGGTGCTTGTTTTTGACTAGCACAGACTCAATGGGCTGAAGGGCCTTTTTCTGTGCTGTTTTTTTCAATGGCTCTTTGAAAGACCACCTCAGAAGCTCATGAGACTGAGTAAATGTCATCCTCAAATTGAGGGATAGCCACAAAGTTGGCTCCTTCGAATCTCTCCCCGGGACTAGATTAATTTAGGAAATCTAGTTGGCATGGACAAAATGGTTCAAAGGGTCTATTTCCATGCTGTACAACTCTATGACTATAAATTCCTTGCCCACTTTCACCTCCTCATTTAAAGACACCGCAGCTGACCAAACATTTGGTCAACGCTCCAGTTATCACCTTCTTTATTCATGGTCCGGCTGTGAAGCATCTCAGAATGTGTTTATTTAGATTGAAGGCAAGTTATTGTCTGCAAGGCAAAGGCTCAAATTCCCCTTTAAGGTAAGGAAAGAAAGATGTTCAGAACAAAGATTGATGTCCTCTGATCTAATATCACACTGCACAATTTCTTGTCTCGAAAGTACTTTGAAATGATCAAGTGCAGGAGAGTAAATCTACCATTTAATGGAAGTTGGGGTAATACTCATTGAAACCTGTAATTCCTGATCGGCTAATGAGACCTAATTTCCAATGATTGTGGGAAAACACAGGAATTTGGCTGCTACAAAACTGTGAGGAGAGGAGACAGTGGTCTTTGTAATGTTACTAGATTTGTAACCCAGAGACCACAGTTATGGTCACACAACTGAGAGATCTCAGGAACTGAAAATGAATAACTTTTGTGACCGAATTTCTCCCTTTCATAACAATGTTAATGTGTTCAACTTCAATCTCAAATAGCTAGCTTTCTTCTGTTAACACTTGGCTATCCACCCAGGCTCAGGAGCTATTCCGTGGGGATGGCGATTTTCCTCCAAATCTTCATTGTTGCAAAAAAAATTTGCAGAGTGTCTCAAAGCCATGCAAGGTGCTATATAAATGCAAGTTCTTACTTCCTGTTCCGTTTAGCTGATCTGTGTTGATATGGCTGACCCTGCAGGGGCTGGGTAAGGAAGCCTTTGATTGTGGGCAGCGGGTCTCAGGCTGTTTCTTGCTCACTGTTGTTGATTGTGAACTCTTCACATAAAAGAGGGCATCTGGGGGCAAGGGTGCACTTGGATGGAGGGATGTCCCAGACAGATCGCAACGACACTGTGGAATTTATGACCTGGCCAAAATCCTGCCTATATCAGGCTGAGTCAGCAGTTGTGTGTAGATCCAAACTGCCATCTTGGACACTGGCCAAGGGAGGGGAGGGTGTTCATCCGTGACTGTGTGTGTACATCCCAGGGACAGGGGGATGGAGAGCATGGTCTGCAACTCCATTGATAATCTCAGGTGGGCATGGTGATGGAACACATGCCTTGCCTGCCAGTCATAGTATCCCTACAGTGTAGTAATTTTTTTTTCCCTTATTCATTCATGGGACGAGGGCGTGGCTGGTTAGGCAGCATTTATTGCCCATCCCCAATTGCCCAGGGGTCAGTTAAGAGTCAACCACATTGTTGTGGGTCTGGAGTCACATGTAGGCCAGACCAGGTAAGGATGGCAGTTTCCTTCCCTAAAGGACATTAGTGAACCAGATGGGTTTTTTTTTCCTGACAATTGACAATGGATTCACGGTCATTGTTAGATTGTTAATTCCAGATATTTATTGAATAAAAATTCCACCATCTGCCGTGGCGAGATTTGAACCCAGGTCCCCAGAACATTATCTGGGTCCCTGGATTAACAGTCCAGAATAATACCACTAGGCCATTGCCTCTCCTAGAAAGAAGCCATTCGGCCCATCACATCTGCACTGACCCTCCGAAGAGCATCCCACCCAGACCTCACTCTATCGCTGTATTTCCCATGGCTAATCCTCCTAGCCTGCATACTACAGGGCAATTTCCCATGGCCAACCCACCTAAACTGCACATCCTTGGATACTACAGGGCAATTTCCCACGGCCAACCCACCTAAACTGCACATCCTTGGACACTACAGGACAATTTCCCACGGCCAACCCACCTAAACTGCACATCCTTGGATACTACAGGGCAATTTCCCATGGCCAATCCACCTGACCTGCACATTGGACTGCGGGAGGAAACCAGAGCAGTACCTGGAGAGAACGTACGCAGACACGGGGAGAATGTGCAAACACCACACAATCACCCGAGGGTGGAATTGAACCCGAGTCCCTGGCAATGCTAACCACTCAGCCACCGTGCTGCCAATTGGTGATGCCTATCGGACAGGCCCTAAAATTCATCACTTGGCACCTCTGCAGAGAGTTTGCATTCTCCCACCTGGGTGGTGTTGAAGGTGCTGGAAGCGGCGTGTTTAATGAGGTTGTGTGTATGGAATTGATTCAGTCTGATCTGCAGAAACAGCCCATTCCCCGCCGGGCCATTAGGAGTAAGAGTAAATTCTTTAGAACAGTCCCGGAACTAGGATTAGAATTCGCTTTTTGGTCAAATGTGTAGAGTGAAAAGTTTACAAGTTGCCACTTAAGGTGCCATCTTAAGTACCAAGGTACAGATTCTTAAGTACAAATTCTTAGGGAAGAAAATTAGACAAATAAAGAAATAAATGTAACCCCCCCCAACCCCGCAAGACAGTCTGGTGTGGAAGATCTCTTCATTAAGCCAGTGAGATGAACAATCAGAATCTCACGAGGGGCACAGAACTGAGGGGAGCAGGGTGGAGATGGGCTGACGTTCCACACAACGGTGCTGTATTTTTTTATTGCTGATGATCAGGGCTTCAAACCTCCGGGGGGGGAGGTCAGTCAGACCTTTGTTCATCTAATAGGCTCTGACAGAGAAAATTATGTTTGTGTCATTAAATCAGGGCTTTGTTGCAAAGCTATTGAAAAGTCAAACAATTGTAAACATCATTCAGGATTGCAGCAGAATGTGCTTCCATCTCACAGTGACTTCCCTTTCCTGGCTGCTTCTCAAACTCTCAGTGTTTATTCCCATAATTTATAGAGTCATACAGCAGGGAAACAGAACCTTCGGCCCAACTCATCCATGCTGACCACGTTTCCTGAGCTGCACTTAGTCCCATTTACTGACATTTGGCCTTTATCCCTCTAAATCTTTCCTATCTGTGTACCTGTCTTTTAATTGTTGTAATTTGTTGGAGATGGAGAGCACATTCTGTATCTGTAAGGTCAACATTACGGGCTGCCTACCTGCCTCAACCTGTGCCACGACCTCTGACCCCATCTGTTGGCATGACGACTTACAGGCCTGCGGGGTGGGAGTTTTGGAGCCATATTGCCACTGAAAATGAGAGATGTGTGAGGCGCTTAGTACAGTCCTGGAGACTCATTGGTGGCCTGACTTCTTTGCATCTTAGAATTGAAAAATTAGAAGTTTCTTTCACTGTCTAACGATCTGCCAGAGTTCTGTTTGATGTCTGAATCAATTATGCTGCAAACCTAGAATTGCTAAGAATGAATAATGGTTGCCCCCATCCTTCTGCTGCCATCAATTTGCACAAACAATGGGGCCCTCAGTACAGGCTTCAGATTTCCGGAAATTTCAGAGGCCACGGATGGATGACTCAGACCTGTGCACCTACTGAGGTCACTTCATTTTCATCAGCTCAGCTTAGAGAGGGAACAGTCTATCAGAAAGAGGGGAATTTAGATAAATATATGTAGGAGAAAAGGAACAGAAAGATATATTGACAGAGGAAGATGAAGTACACTGGGTGGAACACAAACACCAGCATGCATCAGTGGGCCAAATGGCCTGTATCTGTATTCTATGTAGTTCCAACCTCCAAATTCCCTGTTGTCATGGTGATCCCCTGGTGTATATACAGCATTAACGTTGATGGACGCTGTCACCGTAGTGTCATTTCTCCAGAGTCCTGCAGAATACTCCCCTTCAAATCTTCATCCAATTCCCTTTTAAATGTTACTATTAAATCTTATTCCATGGCTCTTTCAGGTTTCTTGCTGTGCAGAAAAGAGAGTTCTCCTCCTCTCCCCATCCCTCCCAAAATCCATATCCTATCGATACTGATGATCCTGGCAGTGGAAACATTTACCGTTCTCGAGTGCCTCCATACAATCTCTTCCTTAACCATCACTGCTCTAAGGAGAACAACTCTGGATTGCCCCAGTCTGAGGCCTCACATTATCTAATGTACAAACTCTCTCATTCTTCTGTGGGATGTGCGTGCTGCTGGTAAGACTAGCATTTGCTGCCCATCCCTAATTGCCCTTGAACTGCATGGCTTCCTGAGCTTTATCGGAAGGCAGTGAACAGTTAACTACATTGCTGTGTATCTGCAGTCACATGTAGGCCAGACCGGGTAAGGACGGTAGATTTCCTTCCTTGGGAGATATCAGTGAAGCAGATGGGACTTTACAATAATCAATAATAGTTGTCAGGATTCCATCACTGAGATTAGCTTTCAATTCCTTATTTAATAACTGAATTTAAACTCTGCCACTGGTGGGATTCAGACTCATTCCCAGCCCTTTGACATTACCACTGGACTATAATCCCCATGCATGCATGTTTGCACCAAGTCTTCCAGACAGCATGGTGGCTCAGGTGTTAACACTGCTGCCTCACAGCACTAGGGATCGGGGCGCAATTCCACCCTTGGGTGACTGTCCATGTGGAGTCTGCACATTCTACCTGTGTCTGCGTGGGTTTCCTCTGGGTGCTCCAGTTTCCTCCCACAGTCTGAAGTGCAAGTTAGGTGGGTTGGCTATGCTAAATTGCCCCATAGTGCCCGGTGATGTGCAGGCTATGTGTCTTAGCCATGGGAAATGCAGGGTTACAGGGATGGAGTGGGCCTGGGGAGATGCTTCTCTCCAGAGGGTCAGTGTGGACTTGATGGGCCAGATGGCCTGCTCCCACACCGTAGGGATTCTATGATTAGCGCTGATGAGTTGAGCTCTAATGCAGCTTTGTTTGTCTTCTGTAGTAAGAGTGGATCAGATGGTGAGAATCACCAGAGAGCTCAGGGTGTTACCCATGCCACCACTGAACCCACCCATTCGCCGTCCTGGGAGGAGAAGCTGACAGTGGAAATAGACGATAGAAGTGCCGAGGATGAAGGTGAGATTCCTAAGCTACACCGCCTCACCGAAAGATGAAGCTTCACCCCCTTCTTCCACATCTGAGAAATATGAGTCCTTGCCAAAGTATTTTTTTTAATTGTAAACCCATCTTTGTCATGCCTCAGGTGACCTGCATTTTTGCTGTCACTACAAGTCTTTGATAATCCCACATACGCGCAGAAGAACGTTCTGTGTGAATTTGTGACACAGGAAAACACTCCAATTCCCTCCTGGACCTGTTCCCCAGTTCCCATCCCATTGTCTTCAGCCATGAAGGGCGGCCCAAGATATTTTGTAGTGGACTCTGGCAGGGGAATCATAGAATCCGTACAGTGTGGAAGCAGGCCATTCGACCCATCAAGTCCACAACCAAAGAGCATCCAACCCAAACCCACCCCCTTACCCTATCCTGTACCTGTTCTTTATCCCACGGCCAATCTAACTAACTTGCACATCTTTGGACTGTGGGAGTAACCCCAGAGGAAACCCATGCAGACACAGGGAGAACATACAAACTCCACGCAGACTGTCACCCAAAGGTGGAATCGAACCTGGGTCCCCGGTATTGTGAGGCAGCAGTGCTAACCAATGAGCCACCGTGCCTGGGGAAGCTGAGAGAAATTGAGGTTTTATGAAATTGGGAAAACTTGCCAAGCTCACGCGGACAGACCTAACCTGCTGAAATCATACAACAAATCCCAGTAAGCCGTTAACGAGGAATTTTCTGATTAGACCTGCTTAAGAAATGAATGACTAATTTGTCCAATGAATAACTGCATCGAAAGCTGTATTACGAAACACGAACTGAAGAAATGTCTCTATTTCTATAAAGCCATTCAGATCTTGAGGACATCCCACTGTGCTTTGTGGCCGAGGAAGTGGGACTTTTTGAAGTGTAATCATTGTTATAATGTAGGAAATTTAGTTGGTGCACAACAAGCTCCCACAAACAGAACGGACCTTGTAGCAGTGAGATACAAGCTTGGCTATTTGCTGTGCCATTTCAGTTAAGCATCAATCACATTGCTGTGGGTCTGAGTCACATGTAGGCCAGACCGGGTAAGGACAGCAGATTTTCTTCCCTATCGGACATTAGTGAAGCAGACGGGTTGATAACGGCAATCACCACTAGACTAGCTCTTTCCAGTTCAAGATGTTATTAGATTCAAATCCCATCATTATGGGGAGGTGATGACCCAGCAGTATTATCGCTGGACTGTTAATCCAGAAACCCAGGTAATGTTCTGGGGAGCTGTGTTCAAATCCCACCATGGCAAACGGTGGAATTTGAATTCAATTAAAAAAAACCTGGAATTAAGTGTCTAGTGATTACCATGGATCTATTGTCAAAAAAACCCATCTGGTTCAGTAATGCCCTTTAGGGAAGAAAACTTCCATCCCTATCTGGTCTGACCTACATGTGACTCAGGCCCATAGCGAATGCCCCCTCTAGGCAGTTAGGAATGGGCAATAAACTCTGGCCTAGCCAGTGATGCCCTCATCCCATACATGAGTTAAAAAAAAGGTGGGATTTGAGCCCATAATCCCTAGAACATTTCCCTTGAGCTTTTAGATCAGATAATGACCAGATAATCAATAGTTTATGGTGCATATAGAGGGATTAATATTGGCCAGAATAATGCCTTTACTGTTCTTTGTGACAGTGGCAAGGGGTTTTTTATGTCCAGCTAAGAGGTCTGAAGGAGCTTTAATTTATTGACAGTATCTCTGACAGTACCCCACAGGGCTGTTAGACTGGATTTGGGTGCCATATAACCAGGTTCACCCCTTATTTCCTCAGACGGTTTATGAATGGTGGTTTGATCAGGGCAAGATTTCCAGAATGACCCTGTCCCCACACAATTTTTAAAAAATTTATTCATTTGTGGGATATGGGTGTCGCTGGCTGGGCCCAGCATTTATTGCCTGTCCCTAGTTGCCCCTTGAGAAGGTGGTGGTGAGCTGCCTTCTTGAACTGCTGCAGACCATAGAACATAGAACATAGAACATTACAGCGCGGTACAGGCCCTTTGGCCCTCGATGTTGCGCCGACCTGTGAAACCAATCTGAAGCCGATCTAACCTAAACTATTCCATTATCATCCATATGTTTATCCAATGACCATTTAAATGCCCTTAAAGTGGGCGAGTCTACTATTTTTGCAGGCAGGGCATTCCACGCCCTTACTACTCTCTGAGTAAAGAACCTACCTCTGACATCTGTCCTATATCTATCACCCCTCAATTTAAAGCTATGTCCCCTCGTGCTAGCCATCACCATGTGCTGTAGGTTGACCCACAATGCCACTAGGGAGGGAATTCCAGGGTTTAGACCCAGTGACAGTGAAAGAACGACGATCTATTTCCAACTCAGGATGGTGAGTGGCTTGAAGGTTGTGGTGTTGTCATTTCTTTCTTAATTTCTTAACGTTAAACGTCCTGTGACCCTGAGCATTGCAGACAGAATTCCCTGGCAAAACGCTCGTGCAATTTCCACACCAGCTCTGTCCCATTTTATTTTGAAGCCCGTTTACAGGGAGAGTGGGAAAAATGGGAAAGATTTAATGGGGACGATGGGGGTGGGGGGGATCTGAGATGAGTACATTCAGTCATTTCAATGGGAAAAGTGTCAATGGGATGATCCAGACCTCAACAAGACTCCAGGGAAAGTAGGAAAATTGGGGATGAGGATGATAAGATGATCAAAATGAGAAAAGATGTCATGGCCTCTCCAATAACTTTGGCTCAGAATCACAGCTTGACTGAAATGTACAGTCCACAAATCCTGGCCTCTGACACGTTTGTCAATCAAACTAAAAGCACTCGAATAAAAGCAAAATACTGCAGATACTGGAAATCTGAAACAAACACAGAGAACACTGGAGACACTCAGCAGATTTGGCAGAAACAAGAGCTCATATTTTGAGTACAGCGACTCTTCAGGGCAGTGAAGAAGAAAAGCCATTCTCAAGCGAAACATTAAGTCCGGTTTCTGTCTGCACAGATGCTGCTAGTCCTGCTGAGTTTCTCCAGCGTTCTCTGTATTTCTTTACACTGAAAATACTACTTTGAAAGGTATGGATTTCCCTAAAATACTCAAATGATGATAAGACAGGATGGAGATTGGTGGCAGAGTTTGGGGAAAGGGGATGCTGATGTTATTAAGGATTGCAGCATCGACATACTTTCCATCATGAGGTAACGTGGTGGCACAGTGGTTAGCACTGCTGCCTCACAGCACCAGGGACCTAGGTTCAATTCTACTCTTGGGTGACTGTCTGTGTGGAGTTTGCATGTTATCCCTGTGTCTGTGTGGGTTTCCTCTGGGTGCTCTGGTTTCTTCTCACAGCCCAAATATGTACAGGTTAAGTGGATTGGCTGTGCTAAATTGTTCCACAGTGTCTAGGTGCGTTGTGGTTGGTTGGCTCACTGAGCTGGTTTGTTGTTTGGTGAGCCAACCAGTCACAAATCTACTCTAAAGTCTTAGTGTCTAGGGATGGTGGATTAGCCATGGAAAATGCAGGGTTACAGCGATCGGGTAAGGGGTGGGTCTGTGTTGAATGCTCTTTGGAGGATAGGTGTGGACTCAATGGGCCAAATGGCCAGGTTCAACACTGTCGATTTCTGGAATGTGCAAGCTTTAACCTGGCAGTCTGCCTATTCTGTTCAATTTAACATTAGAATCAAGCAGCCTCAGCTCCATCGTTGATGCGTATCGATTTTTCTACTTGCCTCATATTGATGGCTCAGCCCATTGCCCTGATCAATCAGGGCTCTGTTTGTGACTTTCTAATCAGCTCAAAGACTTTCTGTTCAATCCCATTCAAGCAACGATGCTGACTGGCGTTTAAACATGTCAACACTTCAATGTTTCCATTAAAGTATTTCATTTTGCTCTGGTTCCCTCTCCACTTTTGAATGTGATTGTCAGCCACAACTTCCCTTCCACTGCTTTCGATTCTCCTAGAGCCGCTCTGCAGCTCCTTGCTGAGAGCCAAAAATTCTTTGCGTTATCGCCTCCCCCTTAACCTGCTCCCACCTTCGGGTGTTTGCCCAAGTTAGGAACCCCAGGATGCATCCTCAGAGCTCTGTCTCCTTCTGAGCTGAACTTCATACGTCACATTCATGAGTCTTTGGGTCCAGAATATCTCAGTCCCTAACCTAAGTCATCACTGTTAACACTGTAAGACCACTGTATGGGACAGAAATAAACCATCAAATTCAGGGGATTCATAAAGCGTCAGATTTTGAAACAAGTGCAGACCACACATCCCCCCCCCCCCCACCCCCCCCCCCCCCCCACCCAGTCTGCTGTTAACCTCCAGACTATACCCTTCCATTGCCTCTACTTTACCACTCTCTCTGACTCCACCTAAAACATCCTTCAACACACTCAAGTCTGTATCCAGTCCCATAATAAGACCCAACCATTGATTGGCACTTCCTCCTCCCCAAACTCCTGTGGACCGTCATTAGCTCCAGGACTTCGGGTTCAAATAATTCACCTTTTACTGGAACTCAGCCCGTGTGCTCATTCACAGTCCCCTCCCAATCTCTGTAACCTCCTCCAACACTACGTCCTTCCTCTGACCCACTTGCCAATTGTGTGTCGCCCTCCTGTCTGCAATCTTTAGCCCTATGCCATTCCATCTTACTGTTCAGGCAGCCCATGTTGGCTTTTTTATCCCTATTCATTCACATGATTTGAATATTGCTGGCTATGCTAACATTTGTTGTCCATCCCACGTTTTCCGGAGAAGGTGATGATGATCTACCTTCTTGAACCACTGCAGTCTATTGAGGAGGAACATTCCCAGTGCTGTTAGGGAGGGAGTTCCAGGACTTTGACCCAGTCACACTGAAGGAACAGTGACATGGTTCCAAATCAGGATGGTGTGACTTGTGTTTTTTCTACATTTGACCAGGACAACATTTCAAAAAGCATTTCACTGGCTGTGAAGACCTTTGGATATGCTGATATTGAGAAGGACTCTCTTGA